GCAGTGCTGATTGCTCTTTCTGCCCAGGAACCCAGATGAGCCGGTCGGACCTGAAGAGTCGTCATTCCAGTCTGAATGAAAAGCCCAGTGTGAGTTATCCACGCACCGCACAGTATAAAAGACTGCACACCCAACTTTTACATCGCCGAGGCCAGACCTTTCCAGGAGAACTGCGTGCGCTTTTCTTGGGACGCTTATATCGGATGGTAACGTGAACCAGGTGCTCTGCAAGATATGTGTCATTGATTGAAGAGATTGTTTTTTAAAGAAGCAATACCTTCCCGAAAGTTATGGCGCGAGCTTCACGATTTTTCGCGTTCCGTCTGCGCCGTTTTTAATCGTTATTCTACGTCCGTCTCGCTGTTTTTAGGCCTCCGTGAGCATTAAACGTAGTTCAACTCGTGGAAACACGTCTCGAGACTTTCCTCTCCTTGCTGCTGTTTTTGAACGAATGAACGCGTTCTGTGTGGACGGCTGAAGAGGAGGACCTGGACGGCTTCAGATGTGGATGTTCTTGGTCTCTCTGGTGCAGTGGTTCTTAACAGTTCAACAGTTCTATCTCAAAATTGTGAAATGTTTAGGACCACTTGATCAGGGAGACACTGTCATTGGTTCCAGGACAAAGATGACATGATAATGTGCTTTGGGACGATTTGTTCGCTCTATAAATGTTTAACAACTTTTTAAAATATTTAAACATGTGTCAGTCAAACGCTTGAGATGGAATTATAACGTAGGCTAATTTGTCCACTAAAACAGTTTAAATTGTTATAAAGAGTAAAATATATTTTTTTTGTTAAAATTATTGGTTGTAGACACTGAAGACTTACTGACAGTGTATTTGAGGTCGAAGATATATAGTGTTAACTCTATGCTTTTGATTCACTTTCTGTCTCGTTTAAGGGGAAATTGCGTTACGGGGAATTCTGTTTAAAAAGGTTGAATTGTTTTTGAGCTTTTTTGGGGGGATTGAATGTGTGTTCTGACCTAGCTAAAACCTGGGACTACTTTTCTGACAATGTCCCCAGAAATTAGTGAAGTGTGTGTGTGTGTGTGTCTGTGTGTGTAGTGTATGTGTGTGTGTGTGTGTGTGTGTGTGTGTGTGTGTGTGTGTGTGTGTGTGTGTGTGTGTGTGTGTGTGTGTGTGTGTGTTTGTGTGTCCCAAAAATTAAGGTTGGGTTTGGGATAGGGTTGGTCTATTGCTGGCCATATTAGCAGTTTCCCTTTTAAGTGGGTCGGCTTTTTTTTCTTTCTTTCTTTTTTTACTTTATCCATTTAAATAATTAAATTATTTTTTTAGACATAATGTGTATAGGTCCGTCTGACACATTAAAGACATTTAAAACCTAAAAAATATATTTTAAAGACTCTCTCTCTTGTGCCCCCTTGTGTTTCCCTGTGTAACTTCTAATGCTGAATTGTAATTAGTTGCTCAACTTATATTTCCATTTTGCCTATTCAATATCAACATATCAGCTTCTTGCCCCCTAAAACACTCTTCACAGCTAAAGGTTAACAGGACACACACACACACACCAAACTGACCTATAGTCGTGTGTCTTCAGTAGTGTGCTGTCCGTGGTGCTGAAGCTCATATAAGTCTCTTGGGGACCATTGACGGACTCTGCTGGTTCGTCGGTTTCCTGCATGATTAAATTGTCTTAGACTTAAGATTTAACGCTTTGTCTTAAACTTTGACAACGGCACGACTAGGTAACAAGAGCAAACAAACACAGATGAGCGCAAACTGTCATGCAAATCAATAGTCACAATTATCGTGTCTCAACAGTTTCATCAGTTCATTAAGCAAGCAAAATACCGACCTGTGACCCAGCTTTTAATTAAAGAGCCCGACGAAACCATACAGAGAGGCTCCAAGCTGTGCGTCGTACACCCACAGTACACATCAAACTGTTTGTGGACAAATCGATTGTGCATGTGTCTCGTAATCAACAGGGGCAAAATAGAGGGGACAAGAGAAACATCTCATGAATTGCAAATGAAAGTGGAAACCTTTAAGATTAATCCATGCCACAGATGGAGAAAATAAATAAATAAAAGGCTATATCAAATAGCATATAGTACGAGTTCCTTATACAGTAGCATGCACAATCTTTTATATATATATATATATATAACAATCATAATAATAATACAAACGATTAAATATTATTTGATAATTCGGCAGGCTACAACAAGTTCAATTGAGTCCTTAAAGAAAATAAAAAATAAAAAAACATGCAACTAAGGGGTCAATTTTTTCCCAAGACTCAATCTTCAAAGATGTGTCGTCTTTTGGTGCCCCTAGCGTCGTAGCTAAACATCAAATTGATTTTTGAACCAATAGACCTTATTCAATGTAGCGCCATATAATTTTTTTTTGACAGGAATGAAAACAAGGCTGTGAGCCTGAGGAATAGAATACTGTTCGTTCATTAGATTGTACTGTTTAACAACAATCCGATTGTTCAACTGAAGAAACAGGACACATAAATCAGTAGTCAAAACTCCATAAAACAGTATTAAGAGTTGTGCAAATTACGTGATTTAGGACTTTTATACAGTGCGTAAAGACTATTCCTCACAGCCTCGTTTTCATCTGGGTTAAACGGCGTCTGAACTGATTTAGGTCTACTAAATCCTGTGTTACTGTGATAAGTTAATTTAGCTAGGCCTATTATTATACAATTATACAGTGTGTATATATATATATATACAGTAGTATAGCAATATATATTATGTATAGGCTACTATACCGGAATACGATAGATAGTGATCGTAACACAAACCGCTCATGCGGCCTGTAGTAGCTATGCTAGATTAAAATATGCAATCTGACCATTAGTTTTCAAGATGTACCTGTAGGGGGAATTCAGGTAAAATTGGACACATTTTGCCTTTTAGGTGACTGGGAAAAAATGTCCCAATTATTTTGAATTAACCCTCATTTTCAAGATCCACCGTAGGCTAACCTTTTGTTTGAAGCTTATAGCTATGTCACGTATCCCAAAACCACCCCTGCCCATAATTCACTCTAAAAACTCGCTCGAATCGAATGCATCAGTGGAACCATATAGCTGTCCTTTGTTATTGATAAATTATTCATGAGCTTTCAATCCAATCAGTTATTCTGTTTATCCGAGTCCTCTCGGGCGCGCGTCGCTTTCTTTCTTCTTGATCTCAGAGGCGCGTCCTAAATAGCGGCAATATTCGCTAAACGCTCCGTCTTGCACCCCACTGGCGGAGCTCAGTATGAGTCAGGGTGGAAGATATTTCAACAGTCTTAATGAGGAGCCCGGAGCGATCCGCGTACATGCGCGAGGGCAGCAGATGTCGAGCAGCTCCCGCGAGACTCGATCCGCGGAATTTCATCATCGTGTCGGGATGACCCTGGAGAGGAGAGTGAGAGAAAGGCTTGTGTACGTGGTAAATCACCTTTACAATGGATTGTAATCATGAGGTCCTAAAGGACTAATGCATGAGCGACCCCCTTCCCCATCCAAAACTAATCTGAAGCACTCCTTGCGCGAACTGGCTATCAATGCAACTTACGACTCAGTATGGGCCAAGTTGATGAGCCAATATCACTCCTAATTCACAATCAGACTTGTCAACAGTCAACTGCCTAATTCCCTTTAATCGGAGCGACAAAACCTCGCTCCTAAGACAGTCTACAGGAACGAGTATATTATTGCAATAAAGCCTGTCTGCTTATCTACTGCATGCTCCTCTGTATGCTCGAGATAAGAGTTTTTATTAAGAGGGCAGCAGTAATGTCCTGTGTTCGGCTTTCAAAGCCCAGCAAACAACCGCCTTTATCTAGCGTATTAAGCCTCGCATTTAAACTGCTCAATAACAGCACGGGTTTGCATTCGGCTGCTCGGAGATCACGCACCAGGGAGCCTTCTGGTGGATCCGCTTTGGTGTTGAAAGATCTGGCGTTCACAAATAATGGCAAGTTTTAAAATGAGTCTTTCAAGCTAAAAAAAACACATTATAAATAAATAGATAAATAGGCTAACAGAGGCCTACATAGACACGTAATTACACTGGCCTACATACATACGTACAACATACATACATGCATACATGTTTAAAAACAACAACAACAACAAAAAACCATCATACATACATACCTGTACTTACAAGGCTACATACATACATAGGTACATGTTTAAAAACAACCTTGGCTATACATATATGTTAAAACAACATGCATACATACATACATGCATACATGTTTAAAACCAAAAAACAACAACAAACATATTTGGCCTACATACTGTACATAGCCTGCATACATACACACACATGTTACTGTTTCAAAAGTTATTTTCATTCTCCTTTTACATGGCGTTTTAAAGCCAGATAGTGGCTTTATAAGTCCGTTTTAAAGTCCGTCTAACGGTTTTCTTTAATATTAACATTTTTATCAGGCTCCTATGTAGGCTATAGGTTTCTACCTAAGTAGGCCTACCGACATTTTTGAATGGGCTGAGGCTGGGATTTAGTGAGTTTGAAGTGAACGTATTTGATGAGCATATACTATGTGCGGAGAGCATTCACTCATTTTTGACATAGGCTTTTAGAGGCTTTTGCATCGGAGGTCGTCATATATAGGCCTATGTCTAAAAATTAAGATTATGTTGTTTCAAGCACACGTATGTTCCTTTAAAAACATCCTCATTTAAGCATCAGTATTAATCTATAAGCATTGGAATACAACTACATCTTTAAAAATTAGCAATGTCGCATAATAAGTCAAAAATTAAGTTACCATTATTTAAGCAACCTTGTCCGCAATGAAGGATACGCGTCACTCACAGCGCACGCAAGGAATTGAAGCGCGCACTGGTTGAGCATCAAGCGCGAGAGCGACACACTCGCCATGAGGATGTTAGAGCAGAGAGAGAGAGAGAGAGGGGGGTTGAGAAAGAGGTGGAGTTGTTCAAGGTAGTCCTCAACAGGCTCGGGCGAGTTCACTCCAGACCTGCAGTGTAGACTAGTCAAGGCGTGGACTGCCTATCCAACTAGGATGTATGACAAAAGCGCATGGATCATGTATGGAGTGTATGGGGTTCTTGAGAGCTTTGACGAGTGTCAACATATGGATGTATGATTTTATACGGGGCAAGTGATTTGGAACAGAAACCGGACGATCTAAATGAGTCAACAGTTGGATGTACCTGAGAGGGACCCTCTGGATAAGACCATGACACCGCTCTGGAATCAGAGAGAACCATCTGTAAAATGACTCGGAACTCCAGAGCGCGCGCGATGACTTCTCCACATTTGCTGTAAGCAGGGCGAGGAAACATATTTACAGCTGCACAATGGATTTACAAAACTCTAACGGGTCATCTGGGGAGGACAAGCAGAAGCCCAGTCTGATTGACCTGGGGACGTTTTTCGTGGACGCTGACATCATTTTTGGATTTACTAGTCATCTGTTAAAGCGAAAAGCCAAGGTAAGCATATCGCAGCTTTTGAGAGTAGCCTACAAAAGACTCCACAAGTTGACTAATTTAGAGCTCATTAGAATCTATGTGGGGTGTTTTGCTTAGACACACTTATTGTCTTATTAAATATCAAATTTTGAGGTTCACAAATATGAATAGGAAGTTATCATTATGATTTGTGGTGATTTACACTTCAGCACCACGAACAGCTCTCAGCGTCCACATCAGTTGCGCTTTAAGCAACTTCCTTTAAAGCATCCGAAATACATTAAAGTGCTTTCGCAACTTAAACCCTTCATTTTGCGTATCATTTTTTCATCATATTGTGAACTTAGTGCTTGATTAAAAGTTTTTCAGCGGTTAAGATTTCAGCAATTCAACTCAGTTATAGACCTATATATGCTATGCAACTAGGCTTCCTAAAACCTGGAAATAAAAAAGACTTCGAGTTAAAAACAACATCAGTCTGAGGTGTTAACCACTATAAACGTGGACAAACTGACATTAATGCTCACATAAAGGTTTTGAACCAGTCTGTCAGAGAGTTTAATTTATATTGGCTGAAATGTTATAGAGTCTAGACGGTCACAAAAAGCCGAATATCTGTCAGTATAGGTGTAGCTGTTTTCTTCGCCCACGTTAAACGGTCCGTTATTGATGGTTTATTGGACTGCTGGCGCTCTCACCGACAAATGACTGAATGTGGGTTATTTGAGGAGAATTGTTTGATTGACAGTATTTGGGATGCAATTTAAAATCACGTGATCCTAGCATATACATCATCAACATAAAATAATTAGCAACGAGTAATTAAATATTCAAAAACATTCCCACAATTTCTTGCAAATCAAGAGGTTTGGAAGATGCAGTTAAAGAAAATACCAGAGGGTGGCGCCAGAGTAATATGCAAACGACATCAGCACGCCCGTAATCTCACAGTCGACACAAGTGAACTGCAACATAAAAGATGACGTAATTTATGTTAGCAGCAATCATTTATTTTTTTATTTCAGACATACAAATGGTAAAATACTAAAATGAGTTTATAGTCTGTTCCTTACAATAATACACATGTTTTTATTATTATGCATTGTTGTACATCAGACAGACACAATTTGATCATTTGATTAGGTTCACATGAGCACATTCCTTATCACAAAATACACAATTAATTAAATTGTGAATTCCCTACAACTTTATTTTCACTTTTTGTTTGTGCACAAGCAGCCTATAAACTAGGCTATCTGAAACAGCTTATTACTGAGCTACTGAATAGCAGCTCCACCCCTCTATCCAAGTGACCGAGCCGCGCAGCGCGCACACGCATTGACAGCAGTCAAACTTCACTCCCGCGTACGCGCGTCGTCATGGAACTACAGCAAAGCAAAACTTTAGGGGGAATCTTGTTATGCCTTTTGCTTTGCGCTCCCACTGATATTCATGAACTGTCTTCCTAATCAATGTGTGTAGACAAATAGAGGAGCAATAAAGTACACTAGATATCCGTAGTGCTTTGATCTTTTATACCGAGCTGATGGATTTAACTCAAGGGAATGCGCGAGGAGAGTTCCAGACCAGCCGGTCAACTGTAAGTCCTCTTATAAACATCAACTGATGCTGAGAAGTTACAGTAATCGAATTGAATGCCAAGGGTTTGCTGTTTGTGCATTGTGGTTGAATAACTTGCAACACGTTCGAAAGTTGAATCACACTTTTGTGTATTTACACAAGTTTAGAACTGTAGTGAAGCTACGTGTATGCACTGCCTTACATTTTTAAGTACAATCAACTTCGATATTTAAGTAATTTCAACTTAAATTACATTAAACTGACTTAAAAAGTAGTTGAATCTTGTATAACTTATAAAAAAAGTAAAAAAAATGTCCTAACTTAATTTGATGAGTTAAAGCAATGTAAAAACACATGTTGTCAACATGTTGATCATATCATTTTTACAGTGTGAAGTGGGTATTAATATAATAAACAATTTGTAATATGCAATTAACTGTAATGTTAAAGCTCTTAATGTATACAAATGTATTTGTGCTCTTTCTGCATTGTGATTTTGTTGTCTTTGAAAAAGGTGGAAGGCTGTTCGAGCGGAGAGTCTTCACTCTCACTTGAGCTGAGCCCGAGGAGGAGGCTATCAGCGGAGGAGGAATTGTGTGCCGGCAGACCAGCACCCGAAGGCGCAGGAGCCGTGAGCGTCTCGGAATCAGACCGGGACAAGACTAGGCCAGATCTGTGCAAGCAGTGTCAGATGACTGTGGCTGAACTGAGGAGACAAGCCCTCGCTCTGTCCGACCCCGCTTCCTTAAAGGTCAGTGAGTGAAAAGCATTATTAGGATGCCACTGCAAAGTACATCAAGACCGTGGAAATCTTGCCGCTTTTTAAACTAATAGAATTATCTTTCGAGGATCTGTTTTGACTCGTGCAGAAATGGATGACTAAGAAGCTTTTGTTAGTCTCAAGAAGCACTTGACTTTCACCTGAGCTTCAAAGCCATGGAAGTTGTTCTCTTTGTTACATTCTGTCACCCTGCATTGTGAAAGCCTCACATAAATCAGATGCAATGCAGTGAATGGCCATTTTTGTGTAAAATCTGAAAAGTTGACACAAATAAGCCCTGTCTTTCTAGTTTTATGACCCTCTTATCAGAAAACCGAGATCCTATTCAGGCTCCTATTCACAAAGTTCACCCAGTCATCAGAAGGTTAATCTTTTTACTATACCTTCACAGAGAGCAAATATTTCAACAACCTCTTTTTCAAACTATAGGCTTCGTTGTACTTTAGAATGCTTTCAAGTCATTATTATAATTTGAAATGCATACAGGCTTGGATAAAAGCGTGATCATGGCTTCACCGCACAACTTCCTTCAAATGCTGTTAGAAATGTCTCATTGCTGGATGTTTGGTTTGTGGTCAGACTGGTGATGAAGCCTCATCAAGCCTTGAGTGGGATGGTTGGAGTGAGATGTGAGAAGCTCAGCTGTGTGGCGTGATGCGCCCCTGTGCTTGCCAATGCAGTAAGTGGATGGGCATGATATACAGAGAGCAATCTGGATGCAAAAATGAACTAATTGACTGAAACAAATTATTATCATTTGTGAGGTTACATTTCTAGTGTAGATTTTTAGTGCTGTTTAATCAATATCACATGAGAAAGAGTACTTTTGTGATGAATGATTCAAGTCACTTGTTTCGTTCCTTAATGATTCAGTGCTTTTGAATGATTCAATGACTCGCTTATAAAGAGAGTCACTTGTTTCATTCTTGAATGTTTTTTATTTTTCAATCAATTATGAAACGAGTTTCATCCCTGAACGAATCCGTGTTTTGGGTGGATGATTTAAAGACAACCTCATGAAGAGAGTCATTTGTTACATATATGAATAAATCAGTGTTTTTAAACAAATCGTTCGAGTGAACGATTCAAAGACTATCTCATAAATACAGTCACCTGTTTCATTTTTTAATGAATCATCGTTTTTGAACAAATCATTTGAGTGAATGATTCAAATGACTCATTGAATAAATCAGTATTTTTATAAATGGGTCATGACTACCTGATAAAGAGAGTTGCTTCTTTCATTCCTGGATGAATTAGTGTTATTGAACAAATAATTTGAGTGAATTATTCAATGACTCAATTACTAGTTTTATTTCTGACTGAATCAGGAACAATTGATCTATTTGGCTGACTGAATGGTTCATTGACTGTTCACAAGATGTTTGTTTAATTTGTGAATTAATCTGATTTTTTTTAAATCAAATCATTTGGGTGAATGATTCAATCATTAAGAGTCATTGTATCATTCCTGAATGAATCAGTTTTTTTAAACAAATTGTTTGACTGAATGATTTATGACCCACTCTTGAAGAGATTTGCTTGAGTGAATGATTTAATAATTCACTCATAAAGAGTCATCTGTTTCATTTTTTTTAATGAGTGACCACCTCATTAAGAGAGTCAATTTTTTCATTACGGAATGGATCAGTGTCTTTGGATTAATTGGTTGAGTGAATGATTCAAATGATTCACTCATAAAGATGGCCACCTGTTTTGCTTCTGAATGCATCAGCATTTTTGAATGATTTTGAATGAAGGACTCCATGACTCACTCATAAAGAGAGTCACTTTCAGAAAGAATAACTTTAAAACCCCCACCGTTAACACACTCTTTGAATGCTGCTCGACCAATCAGGTTTGAGACCTGGAACTAACTGTTCTTTATTTTATAAAACCAATGCTTTTTTATTGGAGAGTAATGGAACATAATCAATCAAATGGAGGACAGAATTCCATGTATAACAAAAGTCACTGGTACTTTGAAGTAATCCACAATATCCACCCTTGCGTTACACTTTTCTGAATGCTGGTAAACTGAAGCCATTCGCCATTGTTTGTTTGGGGTGTTTACAGTCTATCTGCTCATTCCTAAAGCTTTTTTCTCGCAACCTTCCGTTTCTAGAGTTTTCAACAGCTTTCCTTACTTTCACACACTGTTTTCATCCAGAATATGTGAGTGCCAGTTTCTGAGAGTCTGTCGATAGGGGAGGGGCTATTGGAAGTGGCCCATTGTTTTGGGAAACAATGCTTATCTCCCCCCTTGTCCATCGACATTGGGGGGAGAAAACAGTCGAGCGGACTCGCTGTGGAGTCTGTGGAGGAAGTGGAGACCCAGTTGACCTTCATCATGCATTCAAAGTGTTCCTGTATACTCCTCACCAAATTCCCACCACAGTTAAATATAGGCTGTCGACTTTTTATTGTTGTCTGACTTGCTGCTTGGGTTAGCCTCAGGTTTTCCCCCTCCCTTCGCTTTCTTTTGTGGTTGTGTTTCAAGATAGATCTCATGCTTAGGTAGGATTACAAGCCCTCCGGTTTGCTTTGAACCCGCCCCCCCCCCCCCTCAAGTTCTCTTCTCTCCAGGTTACCTCAGGGGATAGAGATAGGGCTTTTGTGTGGGTGTGCATCAGTGTTGGTGGATGCGTATGACCTCGTCCCACCCTAAGATGTGTTATTTGGTTAGTACTCACTCATTCTCATCACCAGTGGTTGTCTGAAACCATCTCAAGTTTGGCTGGCCGTTTCACTCCTGCTGTTTGCCCTGTGTGGTCGTCTCCAGGTGTGGGGGATAAAGCGATGGGGTCAAGGTCTCTATCGCCCCCTCTGCTGATGGCTTAATGAGACTGTGGAAGCATTGGTCATGGGAGTCCTGCTTTCCCTGCAGTTGGGAAAAGAAAGGATGCTTTGTCCAGCTGGAGATGTGTGGTGGTTACCTGACCTGAACTTAGAGACTCAAGTGATATGGTTCTAGCTGAGAAGCTACAGAGGGTTACTGTTTATCAGCTCCTGCCAAAGTGTGGGTGGCCTGTGGGCTTAAATCCTGGGTTTAAATTGGTTGGGTTTTCATTATTCTTGATTTTCAATTGAGATTCACACCTGCTCCCCCCTCATATGTTCATTATGAAAATTGCTCTCGGTTTGGTGGTAAAGTCTGGGAACTGCAGCACTCAATAAGTTTCAGATATCAGGCTGCCCTAATGACCCAGCTGCACTTCACTGGTTCATACTAGAGCTCATTTATTCCCAGCCAGCTTGTGTTGGCAAGGAGTACTGGCCTCTTAGTCAGTTATTTTTGTGTAATTGCTGACATTTATGGTTTTTTTTTTTTGCAGTTTAACAATCCAGTGGCAATATTCAAGTAGGCTTGCAAATCCAGACTTTTGAATATTGGCAAAAAACTTTAGGCTGCAAAAAGCTGCAAACTTTACTGACTGACATCCAAAGTGACGTTAGATTAGATAAAGATATGATTAAATATTATTATATATTAAATCAATTACAAAACAAACAAACAAACAAATATAATATAAAACAATTATTAGTAATTAAATAATAAATTTTACTGTACAATTTCTAAAATTTTATCATGCATTATATGACATGTTTATTGGTTAATATCTATCTATCTATCTATCTATCTATCTATCTATCTATCTATCTATCTATCTATCTATCTATCTATCTATCTATCTATCTATCTGTCTATCTATCTATCTATCTATCTATCTATCTATCTATCTGTCTATCTGTCTATCTGTCTATCTGTCTGTCTGTCTGTCTGTCTGTCTGTCTGTCTGTCTGTCTGTCTGTCTGTCTGTCTATCTCTCTATCTAACAATCTAACACTCAGCCTCTCTTGCTACACAATTATAATATCTCATCTTTAGATTTCTCTACTTACTTTTATATAGTAATCTTAATTACTTATTATTGTGCACTGTGTGACTGTATTGTGCAATATGTACACAGTGTGATGGTTCAATTAGATTAAAATAAATCCACAACAGTGGTGGTCTGCAAATGATGCAAATTAATGGCACTAAATTCTCAGATTTGGGCAAATTTAATGATAATTGTATCCTCAGAGGGGCTCAATGTATAGCAACATGGTACCTTGTAAATATGACTTTATTTCTAATGGGTGTTCTATAAATTTTGACACATATGGAACGTCAGGGACTGACGTAATGGTTTGTTTTGTGCATTTTAAATATCGACAAACCGAAAATGTTCTTGTTTATGAATGTATTGGCAAGTGCACCAAAGCCAACTATTCAGAAGTGAAATCCTCATTGAAAAAAACTTGAAAGATTGTAAAATCTTAAAATTTGCTCCTGAAAAAGTTCCCTCGAGGAAATGCATGGTCAGCAGCACTGCAGCCCGGCGTGTGACAGGCCGTTTCTTTACAGTCTTCTGCCAAGCACACGCTCACAGGTGGCAATTAGTCTTCCTTCACGCCCCACAGCTTTTAATGGCTTCACTCTTTTTCACCAGGTTTGCTTTCAGTCCTCGCCATCCTTTGTTTTATTATTTATTACCAGTGATTTCTTCGCCTGATATCAGTGAGGAATGGTCTCTTCTCTTCAAACAATAAAGAAGCTCTCCCCTCAGCAGTTCATTCACTTCAATGTCAGGGCACTTAACACCTGAACAATGCCTGAGGATGGAATGCCTGGAAGCTTAACACGGGACAATGGACAAAGACTTCATTGCCTACAATGATTGGCACTTAACTAGTCACAAAGCTCCAGCACATTACCCAAGACTCGCAATTTTAAAAAATGGCCAGCGTTAACCCTAAATCATATGTCCGGCTACGATAACCATTAACCGTTGAGAATGAATCTGAGACGTCTAACGTCAAACTCTTTCACTCCACTGGCCGTCCGCATCTATTACAGGATCATTCAACAAAATTTAAGGGCATTCGCACCTGGGTTAGAACAATCTAGCGGTATGGAATGTGGC